ACCATTGGTGAAAAAGAAAATAATTCTGTATATATATATATATATATATCCTGTTGGTTAGGGCGTTCGACTCGCAACCTGTGGATCGCTGGCTTGAATCCCTGTCACCGAACATGCTCGTCCTTTCAGAGTGGGGGCGTTACAATGTGATGGTCAATCCGCTATTCGTTGGTAAAAGAGTAGCCCAAGAGTTAGCGGTGGGTGGTGTTGGCTAGCTGCCTTCCCTCTAGTATATTACTGCTAAATTAGGAACGGCTAGCGGAAATAGCACTCGAGTAACGTTGCGTGAAATTCAGACAAACTAAACATATATATACAAAGAAAAGAATAATTATCTTATTTGCCAGGTGCTGAAATTATGTCGTCATTATACGAGAATAACAGTTTGGATAGTAAAAGGACCTCCAGTGGCTCAGTGGTAAGTTCCGAACTTACAAAGCTAAATTCCCGGGTTCGATTTCCTGCTATAGACGAGAGTTTTTTTTTTCTTTTATTAAAATAAAACACCGCCAGTACCAACAGCACAGGAAAAATTAAATGTTGTTTCAGAATGACTTGATTGTAGTAACTCTGTGGACAAACGTACCCTCAAATTGAAGAAAAAAAAAAAACGTACAGTTGCAACCAAAACGTTTGTCTGTAACTGGGTGACAGAGATCCTGATAAGTAATAAAATAGAATCGGGTGAACGCGCGCTCCACGCTTGATATTGCTGGCGCACAAATGTATAGCTAATAAAAAGGAAAAAAATAAGGTCACATAGATTAATTTACTCTAGTCCTGTCCAAAAAAAAAAAAAAATCCACGTGGAGCGGCTATTGAGGATTCCCTCTTGTTTAGAGTAAAAAAAAGATGTTAAAATAAAGGACCGTGGGTAGTTGCGAGGTTATCATTTCGGATTATGCACTGAAACCGTATTACCATATTATTAGTAATAAAAGAAACCGAAGTTTCAGTTTTGTTAAACAATAAAATCGAAGTTCTTACTTCTCCCTCCATCAAAGTTTATAAGATCAGAGAAACCAAATAATAAAGAGCATAAAAAATTTAGAACACTCTTTAATATTTTTTTATTAGTTAAACATATTTTCTTCGTTACTTTCTGCACGTAATTAAACGTTTTTATACCACTAGAGTTCTTCAACAAGGCCTGATTGTTACTGGTGGCTCAACATAACAGATTATTTGATAAGGTTATGAATGTCTAACGCTCACCGTAAAACGGTTTTTTAATTGGGAGTTAATATACGATGAGATGATGGAAGCTACATTTTCGGTCAAGGTGTTTCAGGAACGTACTATTTTTAAATTATTCATTTTGTGCCAGCTTTTCTAACGAGCCGACAACGTCATAAGAAAACGTTTGCGTCTCCTTCTTTGTTCACCTTTTTCTTTCCGACAAGAAGCTCAACACACTGTCTTACGTATTTCCCTACATAAAACTAAGAACCAAATTTCACATATTTCCCCCCATAAAACTAAGAATACAGTTTCACATATTTCCTCCATAAAACTAAGAATCCAGTTTCACATAGTTCCCTCATAAAACTAAGAAACCAGTTTCACATAATTCTCCTATAAAACTAAGAATCCAGTTTCACATAGTTTCCCCCCATAAAACTAAGAATACAGTTTCACATATTTCCTCCATAAAACTAAGAAACCAGTTTCACAAAATTCTCCTATAAAACTAAGAATCCAGTTTCACATATTTCCCTCATAAAACTAAGAAACCAGTTTCACATAATTCTCCTATAAAACTAAGAATCCAGTTTCACATATTTCCCTCATAAAACTAAGAATCCAGTTTCACATATTTCCCCCATAAAACCAAGAAACCAGTTTCACATAATTCTCCTATAAAACTAAAGATCCAGTTTCACTTATTTCCCCCATAAAACTAAGGATCCAGTTTCACTTATTTCCTGCCATAAAATTCAGCACACAATTTTACTTGCTCCACCCCATAAAACTTCACAAACAGTTTTAAGCGTTTCCCCCCATAAAGCCCAGAGCACAGTTTCGTGTGTTTCTCTCCTATAAAGCTTTGCATGCTGTTTCATGTTCTTTTACTCTACAAACTCTCACACAATTTCACGTGTCTACAAACTCTCACACAATTTCACGTGTTCCCCCATAAAAGTCATCACACAGTTTCATGTATTTTCTACATAAAGTTAGACACAGTTTCGCGTGCTCCTTCCACCATAAAATTTAGCTCACAGGTTTCTCATATCCTTCACATCAACTTCAACACATAGCTAGGTTCTTGTGTTTGTCCACAATAATGCTCAGCAAACCGTTTCACACGTTTCGAAACTCACTGTATAGGCTAGGTTTGTTTAACATTTCCAAAAGAAAGTCTGACCAATTATCATTTTATATGATGTCAAATGGTTCCCAGAGACTGTTCTTCCTCATCACATCCCACTCTTATTTTTTAGATTTCATCAGTAAACAAGACAATATTTCAGTGGAGTATAGCATTAAATTTCAGGTATGAAGCGGAAAGTGGAAGATTTCGACAATTAAAATGTCACCATAACAACAGGACAAATGAAGTACAAACAAACCTCTTGAGAAGATAACGATAAATCATTTTCATGATTTTAACTAGAGGATTTTCTAGTTGGGTTCATCATCTTTGAATGAGGTTTAATTTTGGATTAGTTATTTCCTAAATCAATATTTTTCCCCTTTTTTAATGCGATAGTCTTTTACTTGTTTGTTGTAATTGGTGGTTTGAAAGTCAAGCTGAGCAATATAACAACTCGAAATAGCATGTTGATTGTGCTTCGAACAATATGTGTTGGCTTTTGATATCACAAATTAGAACCCCCTTTTCAAATATTCTGCGTACAAGCCTGCATATCTTAAAATTAGGCTTAGAATTAGGCCTGAATTCTTCACAATAAAAGCGATTAGAGTAGAGGAAATTTTTGTAAAAACATGAGACAAACAATTTACTTCTTTGAAATAAAAATGTTTGGCCTATTAGTTTTCCAATATTTCGCCGGCTTTCGGCGTTTAAACCGTAGCTTTTAAAGTATCATACCTCAGCCCCCCAGTGACACAGCGATATGTCTGTGGACTTACAACGCTAGAAACCGGGTTTCGATACCCGTGGTGGGCAGAGCACAGATACGCCCATTGTGTAGCTTTGTGCTTAATTACAAAACAAACAAACAACTATACCTCATATATAAATAGCGTTTCATAGAATATTTTGTTTCTCATCGTCCAGCTCAACTGATTGGTTCTGGTATTGAACGAAAGTTTTATTGAGGCAGTGACTTCCAGGAGACAAAAGATATATTGCCCCCAGTAGCACAGCGGTATGTTTGCGGACTTAAAACGCTAGAAACCAGGTTTCGATACTCGTGGTGGGAAGTTCTAAAAAGCTATTTTATATACACACACCTCGGATTTCGAGCTGCAGAGGACAAAAAGAGGAATGTAGAAAAAAAAAATTCTGCACTTAACTTATTATTTTTTTAATAATAATTTTCAAGCCAATTAGTTTTCTAATATGTCTCCGGTTTTCGACATTTAA